CAGACTGACAGGAGCAGGAAATGGGCAAAACAAGGGCAGACAGGAGCAGGATCATAACAAAGTGACCTTGATTGATCAAATAAAATAAGAGTCAAATGGTAAAGATGGCAAAATCTCACACATCAACTCATAGAATGAGTAGCTATTGTAAAACATGTGTATTCTCAAAAGAGAAAAAAAATACTTCAGCTGAGAGCCCATTTTCTCCACGGCTGCGAAATGCCTGAGCTGTTACAAACTGTGTGATTACGCAAATTCTGCTGAAATCAACACAATTATTCACACGTAGAGGAGTTTCTGTGTTGGTGGGGAAACAAAGACGATGTGCAAAAGAAAAAAGGCCAGCCGTTGTTTGAAAAGACAAGCAGCCGTCTTTCCACAGATCACATATGACACTGACTTCATGTATGACAGAGAGCTTGTTGAGTCAGAAAAACCCAGTAAATAGGCTCATCAGACACATCAAACACAAACAGATTCAGTGAAAAATCAGCATATGGAGACTTCAGACCAAAGTAAAACGACAGATTTTGCTATAAAGATGCTTTCACTAAACTGTGCACACACAAAAAATGGGTTTGTGGAGTGAGTGTGAGCCAGCAGAGCAGAGCTTAACTTCATCAAGGCTGCTTCTGAAAATTCAATAAGTAATTTGGCTTGTTTTAGTCACTTGCTCTGCGACAAGCAGGTATGAAGAAAAAGGTAATGAAACAGCAGCCTATATGAAAACACACAAACACAGTTTATAGTACGGACAATCATCCACTCTGCTTTCCCATACTTTAATATATTAGAAAAGTTATAAACTTGGAAACGTTATAACCATCATGTTGGCCTCCAAAAAAATGTTCAGAAAGTCCAAACAAAAACCATCTGCAAAGCGACTCTTTCGTTTCTAACACAATACAAACCAGAGCTGACACAATTTAAAAATAAAAAAAACTAAAATGTGGTCAAACTATCTAAAGAGTATCACCTCTGCATGAGCAGCATAAAACAGTGTTGCTTTTCATTAACAAAAACTGTTGGTGTTATTGCCTCCTGGTCTCAGGAGCTGCTGCTCTCATTTCAGTCTGACAGGATTATTTCCCTCGGCAAGACGGCCTCACATTTCTTTGAAGATTCATAATTCTATATGGTC